CCATTTAGCTAAATTTGCAATTGAATGTTAGCTTAGGTTATTTATTTTACTTGAGTGATCAAAAGGATTCAAAAGAAAAAGAAAAGGGGTCGTAAAAAGGTTTTTATTATGGTGCTTGACAAGATTTCAGGTCTTGCTCCTACATATCCTAAGGTGCGATGAGGAATTCAAAGCAATGTAGTTATGTACAAGTAAAAAGATATTTTGTTTTTTTTTGTTTATATTGCTTGACGAGATATTGAATCTCGCTCCTACGTATCCTCATGTGTGATGGGAAACTCAAAGTTACGTAGTTATTGGTAGAAATGAGTGTTGGTTGGTTGATTTTAGTGAACAAATGTTTAGGTCACATTCCACTGGTTAAACGTTGTTTTTATGCTCGCACATGGAAGGCTTAAGTATTTGTTTGTTTTGCCAAAGAAAAGATCTTTCTTGGTCATGTTCTAGCGGTTAAACTTTATTTGTAAGCTCGCGCATGGGAGACTTAAGTGTTTGTTTGTATCGCGGTAGAATGGATAAAACATTGTTTATTTGTGAAAAGGTTTTCGATTGCACGAGGAAGAGAAAAGATAGGTTTGATTGGTTGAATTGTTTTTAGGAGGATGACGAATGCTCGGTAAGTCTAAGACGTGTTCCTTGGGCCGATTGTTCGAGGTTTTCATGGAATGCGAGAATCCAATGTTCCTTTTTCATCGAAGCATTTATGAAATTTGTTTGTGGAAAACGAACATTTGGTAAGAGCAAAACGTGTGCCTCGGGGTTGATTGTTCAAGGTTTTCATGGAATGCGAGACTCCAGTTTTCTTTTTTAATCCATGTTTGAATTAAGTGTTTTAAGACAAAATAAAGAATAAACGGTTCAAGATGTATGCCCCAAGATTGATCATTCAAGGTTTTCATGGAATGTGAGAATCCAATATTCTTCTTCTTTCGATTTTGTTATAAAAATATTTTTATAAAGGAATGACCCCCTTCAAGTGCCTCTCATTCACACCTTTTTTTCTCTTTTTACCATCATTTTCCTATTCTTTTCTTTTTATTTCTGTTTTTATTAATGTTAAAGAGAGAAAAGGATATGAATGTGGTCCCCCATATGCTATTAAGGGAAGAAGAATTAATTGCGGGGATTGATATACATGGGTGGACAAACCTCCAAACGTCTGAGTGAATTGTTACCTTTTTTGTGTGTGTGAATTTTCCCAAATTTGAGAGAGATGGACCTTAATACAAGTGGATCCTATCCTATTGGTGGCTTTTTGCATTAATAGTTTATTCACATTACCTCTCCATCCTTTTTCTTTCCATGTTATTTTTTTGCATTTTCCCTTAATTTTGATTGGTGGAGAGAATAGACATGGATAGTGATCCTTGTATGGTGATTGGGAAAATTGAGACCCTTGATTATTTTGATCGAATGGGCAATGAGTCAAGCTTTCACATACTTAGGATTTTGATTTAATGCAAATGCCAAAAAAGTCCCTATATATTTAGATGATTAAATTGAGTTAAAAAAATTAAATTAAATAAAATATAAATATTTTCTAATAAAGCAAATAAAATCAAATGATTATTTATTTTTCTCTAATTATTTTTTCTAGATATTTTGACAAAAACAAAAATAAAAGTAATTAAAATGAATAAGTTACTTCTTTTGCTAGTGCTAGTAGCATGATGGCTTTTGAGGCTATTTTGGCTTTATTTATCTATGGATTGATCTTGTTCCCTAACATTGATAACTCTGTTGATTTTAAAGCTATTTGAATATTTTTGATTGGGAATCCTGTTCCGACTTTGCTTGACGATACTTATTTCTCTATCTATCATAGGACTTCTAAGGGAAACAACGCTATTGTATACTGTGCACCTTTACTGTACAAGTGGTTTATTTCGCACTTGCCACAATCACCTATCTTCAAGGAAAACAAGAGTTGTGTTGAGGTGGTATCAAAGGATCATGTTCATTACCAATACTGATATTACTTGGTATTCTTCTATGATGATAATATCAAGATCATTGATAGTTATGAGGAGTTCTCTAACGTACCTCTTCTTGCTACATAAGGTGGAATCAACTACAACCCTAGTTTAACAAGATGTAATCTTGGATATACCTTGAAGGATAAACTTAGTAATATTATGTTGGAGGGTTTGTTTTTCCAAGAAGGGAAAGGTACTCAAGGTTTGAAGAAGATGATGGCTCATGCTTGACAAAACATTCACAGGAAGCGAATGGGAGAAATTGAAAAACAAAATTGGGTAGCTTTGAAATCTTATGCTCTTTGGGTGAAGGAGAGAGCAAGGGAGCTCGGGTGAAGGAGAGAGCAAGGGAGCTCAAGATGCTTATTCTTTTGAGAAGCCTGTGTCACTAGTGGTTGCCAAACCACTCACCATTCTTACTGAATATGTGAAAGAACTTCAAGAAGCTTTAACTAAGATGAAGCAAGAGAAGGATATGTGGGAATACAAATTTCATGCTTCAAACCTAGAAAAGATAGATTTGTAGAAGTAGTTGAAGGAAAAAAAAATGATTTGATAGAGTTTCTTGAGCAACATGTTGTGAAAACACATAGAGATAATTTATTTTCTTCTAGCATTTCATCATCTCATCCTCCTACCTCAGGTGCTTAGAAGGGCATTGTGGATCAACTTGTGTTGGAGAAAGCCAGCATGAAGGATACTTATGAGAGGGAGATTAAAAGGCTCAGAAGGAAGTATTAACTTGGAGTTGGATCATCCTCGGACGTGATTCCTTAGGATCTAGCTTTTCCCCTTGTATTTAGGATCCTTTGTGACTTGTACTTCCAAATGTAATCCTTTTCAATTATCAATGAAATGAGATTTTCAAGTATTTCAAAAGTGTTATTTCTTTATGATGTTTGCAATTGCTTTATGGTATCTTAAAGTTCCTTGAAAACTGAATAAAAACATTTGTATTGCATATCATGCATCATTCTGCATCTAGTCTTGCTTTTGAGAGTTTTACAGGTATCTTATTACTTTTCTCTTGGTATTCTCAGAAGTCAAGTTGTCTCACTCGTACAACACCCGAGCTAACTATCAAAGGAAAATGGATCATTTAAAGCAAGAAAATCGTGAACTTCGTGAAAAGGTGACAACCCTCAGGGCTGGGATAGAGAAACTCAATGCTTTGGTCGCTCTCCGGAATCAGTCTCCTCATCCTCCTCTTACTCCTCTGGCAACTCAGCCTCAATAAGTCTAAACAACTGTTGTATCTCACTTATAGGACCTCTTATCTCTTTTTTAATCACACTCTTATACTTATATATTTGCGTGATCCGAGTGACATTTGTTAGTTCCATGGTTCTATGATTGGCTAAATTTTGGTAAAACACGATTCTACACTGATGTTAAGTAAGATGTTCTAACATCTTCATCAACTGTTATGACAGTACTACTGTCATATGTTTCAGACATATGTCATGACATCTTGGTCTGGTACAGCAGGCGCTGCTATTTTATATCTTTTGACATATGTATTTTGATTTAATGAGATCCTCTTGGATATACCTCATCACTATGCGCAGGTCAATGAGATTTATTAGGAACAAAGTGCATATTTAATTGGATTTCATAAAAAGGATCTTTGAGATTTTTTAGGAAACTATAAAATATTTATTCCTATTTTTATAAAGAAGATTCTGCAAAAGATTTACAATGTGAAGATTTGGAGTTTGATTTAATTTGATTTGATTTAATCAAATCTGAGTTAGTTTTAATTATGAGAAGATTTGGAGTTTGATTTGATTTGATTTGATCAAATATGAATTGGTGGTAATTATTAAAAGATTTGAAGAATTATTTGATTTGATTTTATCAAATCTGAGATAGTTTTTATTAAAGTCCAAGCCCATACTAGAAGAGTCTATAAATAAGGACTTGCTAGACCTAAAGAAGACAAGTATTCACAAGAAGAAGATCTTGGGTGCAAATAAAGGTTTAGGGATTTGAGAGTCTCTTGTGTGTGACTTTGTAAGTCACCCTTTGTATTTTTTGATGCGTCGTGGTAGACATATTTAGGTTGTATATTGTTCTTGATTGAAGCTGTTAAGCAAGATCAAGTATTGTCTTTGAAGAGTGTCTTCTAAAGCTTTTTCATTTGTTGTTATCACTGCTGTGATTAAGGGGGAGTGATAAGTGTCTCATATATAAGAGTGTCCTAGGTAGAAGCTGCACTGGTAAGGATTAAGTCAAGGGTTGCAAACGGGGGAGTTTAGCTCTCAATTGATACTACTGATAGTGGATTTTCTTCCTGACTTGGTAGCCCCCAGATGTAGGTGATGTTTTCATCGAATTGGGTTAACAATTCATTGTGTTATTTATATTTCTGCATTTAAAATTATGCAGAATTTAAATGGTTGGACAAATTGTTCTGTCAGTCTGCAGATGTTACAACATCTGTCATGACTCTGTTATTTCTTAAAGTCAAATCAAAATGTTTGTGTTTTGTCCTAGTTCTGTCATGTTTTGTTATAAATCGGAATTCTCTGGCTAAGTCTTCTAGAAAAAAAATATACCAAAATTCATGATAGAAGTTTGCTAATGCGATTTTGATTGGATCTAAATTTTAGAAAGCTGATATGAATAATAAAAAGTAGAAAAAAATAATTAATATTAAACAAGAATAAAATTGACATTTTAAACGAAATATAGGGATATTAATATATCGGCAAGAATATGAGATAAAATTTTTTATAATTAGTATTTGAAAGATAAGTCTGAATGTTTACAAACACGTTGGTCTCGAATGACGAATCCTTAGAAAGAAAAAAAGAATTGCAATTCCCACCGTTAATCAAACAAATCTCAATCAACGAAATATAAAACTCCACGTCGCCGATCCGCGCGAAGTTACTCCTTCCAATCAAAACCCCTTTCACAACCCTATATATACATTCTCTTCATTCCCCATAAATCATTCATCACACTCTGTATTCGCAACTCTCCTTTTTTCGTAAAATCCCCAATTTCCTATCAACAACAATGGCTCCAACAAAGGCCGAGAAGAAACCAGCGGAGAAGAAACCCGCCGCATCCCCCGCCGAGAAGAAACCAAAGGCCGAGAAGAAGATCTCAAAAGAAGGAGGATCCGACAAGAAGAAAAAGAAAACCAAGAAGAGCATTGAAACCTACAAGATTTACATCTTCAAGGTTCTGAAGCAGGTTCATCCCGATATCGGTGTTTCAAGCAAGGCCATGGGAATTATGAACAGTTTCATCAACGATATCTTTGAGAAACTCGCTCAAGAATCGTCTCGGTTGGCTAGGTATAACAAGAAGCCAACGATTACTTCTCGGGAAATTCAAACCGCTGTTAGGCTGGTTCTTCCTGGTGAATTGGCTAAACACGCAGTCTCTGAGGGTACCAAGGCCGTTACCAAATTCACCAGCTCTTGAATTGTTCTGTTTTTCCCTTTTTCTTTGATCTAGGGTTTTAGTCTATCATTAATTTGGTTATTTTATTTTATGAAAAACATTGTAGATTTACAGTGATAATATGAATTTTTTCTTGACCTATGAATTTCCGGAATATTATTCGACATATAGGAGTGAATTGCTATTATGTGGTTCTGGTGATCTTTTCTAAGCAGCGTTTATTTGTTTTGAAACAATTTTTCGAAGGGGCGTTCAGATTTATTAGAAAATATGAACCCAAACTGAATTGTTTTCTGTGTTTACTACGCCATCCGTGGATTTAAGTTAAAATGCATTGTTTTCTCTCTTTCAAATTCGACCAAATATTTAGTTTTGCTTGTCCACGTTTATCATAATGGAATTTACAACTTTTAGTTACATTTCTTCTTTTGTCTCCTTAGTTGCTCTTGTTGACTATGTTCATATCCATGATGCTAATCTAGCAGTTAAAGATTACTCCATGACACCTTCCCATATCGACCACTAGTACACCGGATGACCTCATCACATCAGGTCACCATAAAAGTCTCAACTTTAACACACTTAAAATGTCTTCATTTAATTTGATCATATATGTGGTACTTATACTACTAAGAGTGACTACTCTTACATCCTTAGCAACAAAGAAAGTTTACATGATTTTAATTTAGAAACCCAGTCTTAGCATTGGATATGGTAATCACAGATCAGGTTTCTTTTTAAGCTTGCTTGTCACAACTCTGATTCCATTCTACTTCACCATTACAATATGCCATCATCAATTATGCGCTTTAGATGTGACCTCCAAGAAGAGACTTTCCTTCATTGTTTGCGTGATGGTAAAGATTCTATAAATATTTGGTTACACCTTGGGTTTATTTATCTTGAAGTTTCCCTGAATCATGACGAAAATGTTTGGATAAAAAAGGAGATTCATGGTATCCGGTTGGAAAGAAAAGAGGAATGGAAGGAGAAGAGATAAAAGAGGAATGATAGACAAAAACATAAGAGAGAGAAGGATAAGTTGAGGAGGAGATATACATCGACAATGTGAGAGAGAGAGAGGCCCACCAAAAGAAGATATGTGAATGAGGAGAAAAAAAGGCAGAGGAGAAAGAAGGTGGCAATAGAGGTCGAGCAAAGGCATATGAGGATAAGCAGAGGTAGGGGAGAAAGAGATGGGGGGATTGAGAAGGAAAAAAGAGGCACGAGGAAGAGGAGAAGATGACGAAGTATATGGAGAAGGAGAGGTGACAGAGGGGAAAGAAGGATAAGTATAGGCGAGGAGTAGAGAAGATAGGAAGATGAAGAAAAAAATGTACATGTTGTAGCTTAGTCCCTTCACGTCTATAATGTTCACTCCCACAACCATAGTCTTCTTTAACTTCAGGCTCTCAACGTAAATCTTTTGGGAGATCTCTTGATCCCCTTAGATAACCTCCACTCGCCCTTATAGAGTGTGTATTTCATGCACAAATATAGTGTAAATATGGCGCCTCCAAATTGGTTAAAAGCAGACAACACTATACTTATGTTATATGAGGAATGTGCACGTATAACCAGATATCTTACCTTGATCTGCGTGGCATCCTCCTCAGCTTTATAATCATGTTATATGAGGAATGTGCATGTATAACCCTTCATATGTACTTGATTTCCTAAGAATCTCACGAATGATCCTTGGAACACTTTGAGGTCGTCAATGTCCAAGTGGAACCCTTCAAAGGCGTCCCAATAGAGGATGTCTGCAAAGCTTTCCTGATCAACCAGTACCCTATTAATATCCCAATAGCCACACCTTACGGTTATAACCATGATGTCATTATCATGTGGGTGGATGTTTGCATCATCTTTCTCAAAGAAGGCGATCTTTGACTCCAAAACTTCCATCTCGATTAAATCATAATTAGTGTGAGAGCCTTCGATGGTTAGGATTTGACGAGCGTATCTTTTGCGGGTATAACTAGTCTCTTCGCCCTCGACAAATCCTTATGCAATAGTATTACGCAATAGTATTAAGGATGTGGCGTACAATTCTATCCTTGCCCCTTACTTGGTTCCTTTCCCTTTTTGAACTCGGGAATTTTAGAGGTGTCTAACCCTAAAGAGATGGATCCACTTGGAGTTTGGGTGGTGTTTCCCCTAACATATATCTTTAGATGGCCTTCTTGGATGAGACTCTCTATCTTTTTCTTCAGTTGATATCAATACCCAGTGTGGTGCCCCTTGACATTGTGGAATTTGCACCATATGCTAGGCTCAGGTCCCATGACATATGACGTGAGCCATATATTCTCACAGAGAGTGTTCAAAGGTGTAAAGCTTTTTACAGGTTTTCTGCTTCGCTAAAACTCCACCTTATCTCTGATGGGAAAGGTGTAGTGATTTTTCGTGACTGTTGTGAGCTATCAAGTTACTAACGACGGTCTTTAACATTCATGGTATTCTTTTCAACATTGCTTTTCTCATTCTTTATTATAACATTTTACACTTCTCACTACCTCATTCAAAGAAGTCGCGTGCCTCCAGGAAAGGGATTCATTAAAGTGTCTCATCCTTAGCCCATTTTGAAATGCTTATACGAACCTTTCATTCTTGGGGTGGATGGACTTGATTGTCGCCTCATTGAAGTGCGCTAGATACTCCCTCATAGATTCACAAGGGCCTTGATGAATATTGAAAAGGCTAGAGCTGAACAACTTTCCGTGCTTGTTTGTTGCAAACTAATGGACTAGTTTCTTCACCAAGTTCTGGTAGAAAGTGTCCGAGAGTCGAGGAAGGCCCACGTAACATGTTAAGGTTACATCTCTCCAGGTGCCATTGAGAAGATTGCATTTCAAGGAATCAGAATCTCAAATAATTTCCATCTGCGTGTTGATGGAAGTGACATCATATGAGTTGTTGCACCGATCTAACTTAGGCAATGAATGTAACACCCTGTTTCTCAGATTTTTATTTTTCATTGGATTGAAATTGATTTTTGTTCAATTATTTGTGTGTTTGGGGAATATTGTGGGTGTAATTGAGGTGTGCAGAAATTAATTAGAGCTTAATTTAATTTAATTAATTAAAAATAATAGAAAATATTTGTTTTATAAGATTTGAGTGGAAACTAAGAATAATGAGAAAAATAAGGAAATGAGGTGAGATTAAGAATGAGTTTGGGTCAATGTGAAATAACTAATAGATTAATATTAATTTAATATTAAAAGAGGGAGTGTGGAGTTATTTTTATCAATACGTATTGATCTGACCTGATCAGGAGGAATCACGGACTGGCCACACACCGTTGGGCTGTTATCTGTTCGTCGGGGTGAGAACGAGGAGGGGGGTGTACCTGCAAAGCACTCCGACGCCCAAGTAAGAAGTTGGACAGAGAGGAAGCAATAGTACAGGAAAGGGGCAAGAAGAGTTACCTGACCCTCTTGAAGAAGAGGGTATTTATAGAGAGACCCCAGCGCTGGGCCAACGGTCATTCGAGGTGGGCTGGACGACCAGGCCCAACCCTAATGACTGCTAGGGCTTACGTGGCGTAGTGAAGACCAGGACGTGGTCTTCGCCCTAGTTCAACCGCTCCTAGATCTCCGGAAAGTGGGTTTGACCTGCTCTTTCGGAGGTGGGCAGTTGGCCGATGACGTGTCCCCGCGGAGGGGAGCACGTGGAGAACGTGCGCCGAGCACGTTATTCTCCCCGCGGAGGGGGCCCGGGGTGGTCTTGCTCGTCCGGCGTGATGAACGCCAAAAAGGGACGTGGAGCGGTAGCTTGAGCCCGTCCGTCCAGCCCTGCTCGTCCGAAGGCGCGTGCCGGGGGTGCCCAGTTCGCTTGCTGGGCCGCCTTTGGTATTGGGCCTGCCGAGGTGAGGCCCATACCGGAACAGGAGCCCCCCAAGTCGAAGCTCTGGAGAAGAGCGAGGACTTAAGGTCGTCGTGTCTGGAGTGGGGACTCGCACGAAGGGCTCCGGTGGTCGGTAGAACGGGGAAGAGGCAGGTGAAGGGACGCGACTGTCAGGTTGCCTCCACGTGTCTTGTGCTAAGCGGTCGTAGGGGCGGCTAGCCTATGTCATTAATGAGCCTAGAGTCGCTTCGTGTCCCGCGCCGGGTTATAAATATGGCGGTCCTCGTTCATTCTGTTACTTTTCTCCCTGCTAATCTTTTATCGTCTCTGCTCGTCCGCCGCCTGCCACCGATCGCCGCCGTGCCGTTGCTCTTTTCTTCCGTCCGCCGCCGTTACAAGTGAGTTCCTCTTTTCCCTCTCTTTTTATTTCCGTCGTCTAACTGGAACGTGTGGTCGGGGCGGGATGAACGCCCCGAGGAGGGACGCGAGTTCCGCCGCGTCTGGCGAGCCTTCCGATGAATGTCCCGGGGACGGTAGGCTAGTTCCGATGAATGCCCCGAGGACAGGAGCTTTTTCTGATGAATGCCCCGAGGACGGGGGCTTTTCTCCGATGAATGCCCCGAGGACGGGGGCTTTTTCTGATGAATGCTCCGGGGAGAAGTATCTTCTCCGACGGCCGTCCCGAAGGGGCTGAGGGGTCGTTCTTCGATCCCCGAGGAGGGTAGACGGGGAGCGAATGTCTGCTCGTCGCCCCTCGGCCTTTGTCGCCCTTTCACTTGACTTGCGGTGGAAGGGTGGATTTGATCCTGGCTATCGAATTCACCGATGTCCTCTGCTTTCAGGTGTAGATGTCGGCTCTGGTGCCGGGGATAATGGTTGAAGATAATGAACCCGAGGTCCCGGAGTATGACGACGGGCGTATCTCCTCGCCCGAGGAGTGGGCGGCCGAGGAGCCACTTTCCATCCCCTCTTGCTTTGTGGTCGATCCGTCCGACGTGTACGCCACGGTCGAGGACACGCCGATAGGAGAAACGCAACACTGGCAGGTGTACCGCCCGAAAGAGCACCACCGGATCTGTTCGCGATATGGGCGGAAGATGTTCCCGATGTATGAATTTTATTTTAAAGAAGCTCGGCTCCGGTTACCGTTTTCCGCCTTCCATCTGGGG